AAAATATTAATTGAGCTTCTAAAAAATAACTCTAACAATTTTTTTTAGAGCCGAAATATTTGGACGGTGCCACCAAATTAACTTACGTAGAAGGTTTCGATGGCGACTATGTTAAACTTGAAAATTTGCTTCAAAAGGTAGTACATGTAATCGAAGAAGTCATTTATATTTAAATCTTAATTATATGTGCCTTTCTTGTTTTAAAAAGGACCATCTCAAAAATGCGTTCTTATGTGCGTTGACCGTTGATTTGGAATGGCTATTAAACAAATTACCTCAAAACATTCTTATTGTAATTGCAAAACATTGGAACTCTGCACAAGAAGCTGTAAGACTATTTGAGTCGAACTAGTATTCATATAAAGAGCATAAAAATTGATATAAAAATTTGATCTTTTTACCAGGGACGTGGATTTTGCGATTTACGGTGCTTCTAAAGAATGTACATTTATAAACCCTATAAGTATATATTCCTTTAAGATCGCTGTAAATCACAATATCCCCACGTCCCTGTTTTTTAATATTTGTATAGGAGGGAGTATACATTTTACCGGATACAAATATATTACTTGTGCATCCACCACTTCCGAATGCAACATTTGGATGTTTTCATGCAAAATTAATGCTGTTATTTTTCGATGGATGGTTGAGAGTAGTTGTTGCTTCAGGAAATTTAATATCTTATGATTGGGAGATTAATGAAAATGTTGTATTCGTTCAAGATTTTCCTAGTCGCCAGGTTACAGATTCAAATGATGATAATCTTCATCCATTTGCTCAAGATATCAAAGATTTTATCTTAGCAATGGGTCTTAAAAATCACATTGTTAACAAACTTTCTCAATATGATTTCTCAAAAGCCAAGGTGAGGTTGACACTAAATATCATTTATATACAATATTTAATTCATCCTAATTTAATCTGTCAATCATATCAATGATGAATCGGATTACGAAGGCGAAAATTGTTGCCTCCATACCAGGTGTATATAAAGGAACCGAAGAAATCAAAAGATACGGCCACAGGCGTTTGTGCAGAGTTATCCAGGATGTCTGCGGCCCAAATGAAAATATTATATTAGAATGTCAGGTAGGAAGAATTATTATTTACTTACTTTTCGGTAATAAATTCTCAATATAATATATAATTAATATACGTGGAAGACTTCGACTCTTGGTGGCCTTACCGCTGATTTTCTACATGAATTTTATCGTTCTGCAAGTGGGATTGATACTATAGAAATTTCAAAGTCGCGTACCAAAAAGAATCAGGAAATCGAGAGACAATTACCCCCAATGACGATGGTTTATCCATCTAATCGTACTGTCTTGTCTTCTAAATCTCCGAAGGCGGTAATTATAGTTATTTCGCTGTTTATGCTATTAAATTGAGCTATTAAATTATACTAACATTCTTATCGTTCGTGCAAAGGCTAGTGCTGCACTCTTTTTTGGAAAGAGAAATTACGATAAGGATACTTTTCCTAGAGAAATTATTCGGTAAATAGGGAAATTTACTTTAGAATTCTTAATCATTTATTGATTATACGGTATTAATTTAGAAATTGCGTGTCTAAACGAAATGGAATTTTGATACATTCGAAGGTAAACTTGACATGATTCGTAAACGACTTTCTGTTGATATTAATACATAGAACTTTTGTAGTTTGTTTTGGCACGTTATATTCAACAAGAACATCCAAAAAATCCACAAAAGCGTCAAAAGACAAATAAATTCATCAGTGATGAGATTCGTGATTCAAGTGATGACAAAGTCGGGTTTACACTAAAATCTGATATATCGAAGGGAACAAGTATCGAATCACCAATTACCATCGATGATGAAGACATAGATCCTATCAGGGGATGGTATTATTGCGGGTATGTATATGCAGATTTATTTTCTTGGGAAATGAAGTAAAAGGAATTCTCTTACAATTATACATTCTACTTTATAGAAGTCACAATTTCACAAGTTCAGCTTGGTATATCTTTACGTATTAAGCACGAATTACGTGGAACTAAGTTATAACTTAAATTTAAATTGTTTATTTATAATTTGCTTTCAAGGGGAAAAATTTCTGCATCTCGTGAGACAAAGGGACCTCAGTTGAGAATTAATAATTGGGAATTAGGCGTCTTTTTTCCAATTAGAGGAAGTGAGAATGATCGGGGAGATTGGTTTGCTGAAAACGGTGTTCCAGTGCCATATCAGAGGCCACCAAGATGTTATGATCTAAATGATGCACCTTGGGTAAGTTTTCAATACTGTATTTGAGTTTGACAATCCTTGTGAATTTTATTAATTGTATTATATATATGTTATAGTTTTCTTTCAATTAAAATTGAGGCTAGGGGGTTTCTTTTTAATACATAGTGATTTGGGTGATTGGCAATTAGTCTAATAATAATTTGATTTTAATCATTTATTGCGTATAATCTAAAAACGCTCTTGTTTTAGTTTAGTTTTGCTAATTTCGTGTAATAAGTCTTAATATGAGATTTAAACTTTATTATTGCGCATAAATACCTGAAGACTACTAACTTGAAAACATCTAGCTATTTATGATTTTGGTTAGAAACGAATCAGGTTAGTTTTATAAAGACATGCTGTTATTTGATTTTTTAATTTTGCAATATTTGTATATATATTTTTTTATATATAAGAGAATTTCTATTTGTACACCGGGCGTATGTACACAGGAAATACAGATATCTCATATTTTGATTATGAAACCATCTTTTGGCTTCTAATAAAAAAAAATTTCTTGTGAAATTTTGGTATAAGCTATACTTCAAATCCATTTAACCCTAACCAAAAGCGAGATTAATTTTTGTTTGCGAAAATTGTTTTGATTGCATGTTGCACGAATTTGTGATTCAATAAACTAATAAATTTTCTATATATAAGGCCATATAAATAAAATTACAGTCGTCCTCCTATACAATCACCTTCTATATAATCATAAACTCTATATAATTATATAATTTTATATGGACATTTTTTTTAATATTAAAAATATTTTTATATAATCACAATCATGGTACTATTACTATCACATTTTTTTACTAATTTATTAATAAAAATATCTTTTAAAATCACAAATTAATAAAAATTTTTTATTTAAATTTTATAGATTTGTAGAAATATCTTTAAAAAATTTAAAACATTTTTAAATAGAATAAAATTTGTTATTTTTACTCAAACTTTGATGATGGATATCTCGATAAATATTGATCCAAATCAGCTCAAATTTTCACCATATATACTGTAGATATTATTCTATTAAATATAAAAATTTTAGCCAATTTGGTCTGGTAGCTCTTGAGTAATTGATTGTATACAATAGTCAATTTTTTTAAAAAATTGACTATCATATGCAATCGATTACTCAAGAGCTATCAGACCAAATCGGTTAAAATTTTTATATATAATAGAATAATATCTACAGTATATATGGTGAAAATTTGAGCTGATTTAGATTAATAGTTATCGAGATATCTATTGTCAAAGTTTGAATAAAAATAACGAAATTTTGATTACTATAAATTTTTTTTCTATTTTTACTTAAACTTTGACAATAGATAACTCTATAACTAGTTATTAAAATTAACTCAAATTTTTGCTATAGATAGTGTTGATATTATTCTATTATATATAAAAATTTCAGCTAATTTAGTTTGGTATTTCTTAAGTAATCGCTTGTATATTTTAGTCAATTTTTTAAAAAAATTAATAATTGTATACAAGTGATTACTTGAGAAATACTAGACTAAATTGGCTAAAATTTTTATATTTAATAGAAATATATCAACACTATCTATGATAAAAAATTTGAGCTATTTTTAATAACTAGTTATGGAGTTATTCATCATCAAAGTTTAAGTAAAAACAGAAAAAAATTTATAGTAATCAAAAATTTACTTAAACTTTGATAATAGATATCTTGATAACTATTGATGCAAATCAGCTCAAATTTTCACCATATATACTGTAGATATTATTATAATATATAATATAATAATATCTACAGTATATATAGTGAAAATTTGAGCTGATTTGCATCAATAGTTATCAAAATATCTATCATCAAAATTTGAATAAAAATAATAAATTTTATTCTATTAATAGACATTTTAAATTTTATATTATTTTACCTTGTTAAAATCATATTATTTTAAGGATTTAATTAGGTATTGCAACTTGCGATGTGCTTATATATCACATTTTAAATGATTGACCAATCAAATTTCAAGATCAGGTATAACATAGCACGATCAGGAAAATTTAAAACAAATGTTCATTTTAGTAAAAGTTACTTATAACTCAAAATTTCATATATGAAACTATCTTTCGCACACTAACAAAAAAAATTCCTTGCAAAATTTTACTATAAATTTCTCCTATATTGTACCTTAACTCTACCTAACTCTAACCAAACAAAAAAATCCTGGTTACTTTAGTTGTTATAAGACAAATTATAATTTATATATATAGATGCGATGTATAAACACATTGCAGTAGACGATGCATATATTTATCCTTATTTTAATTATTCTATATTATGTGATTAAATAGAGGTAATTTTATTAATTCTATTTAATCACCCCTCTATATGATCACCAAAAAATGCTAGGTAAATTGGGTAATTATATAGAAGAACAACTGTATTTGTTTCTTATTATAGCTATTTTTATTATTTCTGGGACACTTTATAAAAAATTAGTCAAAAAATTTTTTAGCCGGTCTGGTTAAGTAATTTTTTCGGCATAATAAATTCAATAAAAATTGATGTAATACTGTAATATATATGTAATTTAAAATCAGGTGGCTAATATAAATATAAAATTATATATATCTCTTGTTGAATTCAAAAAATATAGTATTTTTAAACTACATTTGTTGGCAAATTATTGAAAAAATTTAGAAAGTCTATCAACTCGAAAAATTACAAAATACTTAGATGTTAGCAGGTCTTCTATAAGTTGGGTTCTTGTATATTTTCAAAAATATGGTTATATTAAAAAACTTCTATCGCTTTCAGAAAAACCATATTTTTTAAACATGAATAATATAAATTATCTTCAAGTTTTAATAAAAATAAAACCTGACTGGTACTTGTATGAATTACAATTTAAGATAGAACTTTGATTAGGATATAACATTAGTCTTATAACAATTTGAAGGGCTATATACTGATTTGGATTATATATACCAACAAAATTATTTTAGGATCTAAAACCCAAAATTAAAATTTGAAAACAAAATTGTTTTTGACCTATTTTACTTAAAAGATGAAATTTTTTTACACTTTTTTTGAAGAGACAAAATTATAAGAAATATAATTATTTAAATTAGATTTGCTCTTGTATATAAAAAATTTTAATTTGCTCTAAGGGCAGTGTTATTTATCACCTGATTATTTTTTATCAGAGGCTTACTCCTCCCTAGGGTTGTTAATAGAGTAGCTTACTCTGAAGCACTCCGGAGTAGAACCCAGCCCAAGTTGGAGTGGGTTTAAAATTATGCCTTTAAATTTGGAGCAACCTGGAGCAACCTGGAGTACTATGGAGCAACCTGGAGCAAAGCATTGGAGTAAGTCTAATTTAGTGGAGTGGGTTGATGATTGGGTCAACCCAAACCAACCCAACCCAACCCATTAACAACCCTACCCCTCCCCCTCTTAATATAAAAAAAAATCAGGTTTTTATATATAATTTTAACTTTTTTACCCTCTTTCCCTAAAAAATCACCTGATTTTGTCACGTCCCTGATGAAGACAAAATAAAGTTTTTTTGAAAATCTATTTCGGTAGCATATATAATTTGGATATATGCACAAAAAATTAATATTTTATATAGAAATATAATTATAATAACCTGAGGTGATAATTACCCCAGTATATCCGATCTAGTCTTGTATAACATCTACGTTCCAACGAACTACGCGTCATATAATCGATCATAGAATTCTGATCAAGTTCACTTTTTTTTCTTTATCACGCTTTTTTATTAGTGTTTTTTCATTATCGTGCTTTTTTTCGTTACCGTATTTTTTTTTCATTATAGACATTAACACGTTTTCTCTAGTTACTGCGCTTTTTTTCTTATTACCATGCTTTTTATTACCGCATTTTTTTTTTTTTTTTTTTTTTACTGCTTTTAGCGATGAACATATTAAGAAACTGTTCTTTACGTTTTCATGCTTGTTATTATTGTTTTTTTAGTGTTTCGCTTGCTGTTGCATTTCATTCATTATTATATATTTTTTTCACAATTCTAAGAACAAGTTTTCAAGAAAACTATGAAAGGTGTGTTATTTTTTTTTTCATGAATGCTATTTAAAATGCTGGCTTGTTGGTTACTTCTGAGTATTTATTTGAAGTTTTAGATACAGTTCCTTCAGAGTTCACAAGTAGCCCTCCAGTAGAATTCGAAACTGCAAATGAAAGTATAAAGTTAGTGACTATTGAAGCAGATAAAGCAACTGAATTGTTAGAGGAAATGGAACCGGGTAATGAACAGAACTTTTAGCTTTCAGTAGGCAGTTCGTACACATCATGGGATATAGCTGAATCACATCTCAACAATTATGCTAAAGCTATGGAATTCACTTTACGTCGAAAGCGAGTAGTGACTGATAGTAATAGAGAAGTTCGACGACGTACATTTGAGTGTTCATGTTCTGAGGAATCAGTTAGCAATTAGGTTATAGATCTTTCTAGGTAGCGTGATCGTGCTTCAATAAAGGTTTCATGTTCATGGCACATTAATCTATATAAACAAAAATCATCACCGAATGTGACTATTACAAGTATAGTAGGGGAGCATAACCATCAGTTGCAACCAGATGCCACCTTATTTGCTCCAAAATATAGAAAACTTTCTTCAGAAATTTTGAAAACAATAGAGTTTTATGTTACAAAAAGCAATATAGGATCCAAACAAATTTTACCTCTTTTAACCACGCAATTCCCTAATCATATAATTCATAAATCTGATCTATATAATTAGGGTTCCTCAAATATTTGATTTGATATTTGATGCGATTTGACGCAATTTGAGTTACACTGCATAAAATATAA